TAGAAAACAGTATAGAAGTTTCTCAAAAAATTACAAATGGATATACCTTTTGACCCAGCAGTTGCACTTGTAGGTATTTATCCAAAGAAAACCAAAACAATAATTCATAAAGATCTATGCACTCCAATATTCATGGCAGCACAGTTTACAATAGCCAAGATATGACAGCAACCTAAATGTCCATCAACAGATGATTGGATAAAGAAATTATAGTTTGTGTATACAATGGAATATTACTCAGCCATTTCATTAAAAAAATGAAATCCTACCATTTGCAATGACATGGATAGTCCTAGAGGTTATTGTGCTGAGTGAAATAAGTCAGATAGAGAAAGATAAATACCATATGATTTCACTTATATGTGGAATCTAAGGAACAAAAAGAACAAACTAATCAAAACCAGACTCACAAATATAGTGGACAATTTGGTGACAGAGCGGGGTTTGGGAGACTGGGAGAATGGGGTGAAGGATTAAAGAAGTACAAATTAGTAGTTGGTAGTTGGGCACAGGGAGCACAGCACAGGAAATGCATTTAGCATTAATATGATGGCTAAATGGAGGGCCAGGGGAGGAAGGGAGCAATTGGGGGAGTCATTTTATGAACAATATAGGTGTCTAACCAATGTACAGTATACTTGAAACTAATTTAAATAAATAAATTTATTTTAAAAATTAAAAATAAATAAAAAGTTTATCCTATGCAGTAAGATAAAAAGATGTAAATATTGAAAAGCAGTACCAACATCATTATTTGCAGATGATGGGAATAAAGTTAAATTATTACAACACTGTCATAAGATGAAAAATAAGTATTTTTAAAGTACATACCTAAATGCTAACAATAGCTTAGGAAATATAAAGAGAAAAAAATCTTATTCTTATTATGTATATATGTAGTGCTTCACAAACTTTAATGTACCTACAAATCACCTGAGGGTCTTATTAAAATGAAGCTTCGGTAGGTTTGTACAATGGGAGATCGAGATTTTATATTTCTAATCCAGGTGTATCTAATCATACTTTGAGTGATAAGATGTATATATGTACATATACACGTATAAACATATATGCGTATATACATATATTCACCTATATTCTCATGTATAATTTTAAAACTTAAGAATTAACAAGAAAAATATTAGTAGGAAGCATAAAAGAATATTTGAATTAAGAAGAGAAATATCACATTCTTAGATGGAAATACAAATATAAAAATATCTCTTCTTCCTAAAATTAATCTAATGCTCTTAACACCATGAAAACCACTAAATGCTGTTTTTCTGCAACTTTAAAAAAAAATGAAGATTATAGAGTTCATCAGGAAGAATAAAATTTTTCACAAAGAGGACATTAGGCACTTCTTTCCCTTCCAGAAATTAAAGTGTATTTTAAAATGACAATAATTAAAACAATTTCTATCACAGAAACAGACAAATCAAAAGCATGGAGCATAAAATCTAGCCCTCGATCAAAGCATGCATATGAACTTTGTATATAATAAAAGCAGTATATCAAATAACTGAGAGCATTTATTTAACAAATGAATTGAGATACCTCAAATAATCACCAGTAGACTTATATATAGACTTATATTCTGGCCTCACAGCATTATAACTTTAGGATTTAAAACAAGTGCACATTCATGCATGCATACACATATAAAACTGTTAACTTTAATATAAAAGATAAATTTTAAAAATATAAATTTTAAAGCATTCATAAGTAGAAATAATAAAAAACAATATATACCACAGGGACAAAATTGATAAAGAAAATAAACTTTCACCAGGTGAGCAGGGAGTTGGGAGGCTGGGTGAAAAAGAAGTACAAATTGGCTGTTACTAAATAGTCATGGGGATATAAAGTACAGCATAGGGAATATAGTCAATAATATTATAATAACTATGTATGATGTCAAGGGGGTACTAGACTTATCGGGGGGAATCACTTCATATGTTATATAAATGTCTAACCACTATGCTATACATATGAAACTAATATAACATTGAATTTCAACTATAATTGAAAAAAAAGTTTTAATTTTTAAGAAAATAAACTTTTATCCATTATAATATTTATTACTTTATATGACCCCATTCTCTTAAAATAAGGGTTAGTCAATTGAGTGAATAATCATAGCCCATTGCTAGCACTATCTCTCCACTCTTCTGGCAAAAATTCAATGATTTCTATAATCTAGTTATTTTCTCTAACATGGTTCTCTTTTTTTATCAAAAGCCCTATCAGCATAGTTAATTCAGAGTTATTTCTTCTATGATAAAATCAGACCTACCAGAACAGATATCTTCTCTCTCTGATTATAATTGTAGGTTTTTTGTTTTTGTTTTCACTACAGCTCTAGTCAGATAGTCCATTTTGGTCATAGATGGCCTCCTACAGCTCCCCAAATGCCATCAAATGATAAATGACTAAGAATTTTTTAAAAGCTAAATCAACATTTCCTCCACAAGCTGTACACTACGTAAAATACATCTTTAAAAGAGTATGTCATTTTAGAAAGCATCAAATAAAATAGTAAAAATGTAAACATTAGGCTTCACAATCACCATTAGAATTTCCTTGCCAAATATCTAACAGAACATATTATAAGCACACAGTGAATGCTGCAATAATTATAAGAGAGTCAAAGATAATAAATTGCCAGATACAATATCTCGTCCCAAATTTCTAAATGTTTTTTACAATTATACCTCCACCTCTTAGAGTAGACTGGGTCCAGGTCTTCTTTGGGTGCCTCTTGCGATTCATCATAGGGTGGTGTTATGGTTAAAATAACCTAATCCAGTCTAGCAATAGTGATTTCTAAAGTCATGTCCTCTATATTTTTCCAAGACCATGAAAAGAACTTGTATTTACAAGCAATTTTTTAAAAATCCATCCTTCTTTAACATCACGCTCAAACAGTGTTTACTTCACCAACCCTTGCTACTCACAAAAATCTCCTCCTCCACCTACATCAAGAGCCACTTTAATGACTCTTCCTCTCCATTCTGCCTCTTTTTTACTAAACCTTTCCCTCACTACTACTCCTGCTACTACTCCTACTACCACTTCCCATCCTTCTCTCCAGTCTAACCCATTTTGGGCAAAAGAATCTGGGCAGAGCAAGATAGTTAGAGAACAGCTTAACAAAGCCAGAACACTACATAACGGGCAAATGATGTCGAAGGCTAGAAACATCCACTCAGTAAGGATTTTGTCCCATTTGTAGGCACTAATAAAAATGCATAAGTGAATGCATGATTACAAAATAAGAGGAAAAAAATTATCTTTGATGTGAAAGGAAATATTTTGGTTAGACTTGGAAGACCCAGGCCACTAGACAGAGCTCTGCTCTTATTCACTCTGATCTACTTTTACAAGGTTATTTTTACAGGGATAAAATATATAAACATGCTTTATAAACATATTCTTTTTCTGAATTAACTTAATTAATCATAGATATAAGCAGTTCAGTACTGACATGGAATAAACTCATAAAATGGTTTTTAAATTTCCAACATTTTAATCAGAAATCACCAAAGCAAACAATTTTTGTTCTTGGGGGAATTGATGTATTTCTTTGTACAAATTATTAGTCATAGAATACAATAAAACTTCACTAACTCAGGCCCATCTAATTCAGAAATCATTATAGGAGAGGCAGAAACATATAATACAATGTGCTGTGGCTAGAGATGGCAAATACAATAAACTTAAAATTCTTCAACTAACTAGTTGTATATAATTTTAGAGAGGTCCTTTAACCTCCTTGATTTCTGTTTACTTGTGCTTAAAGTGAGCTAAGTTATTTAATCAAACTATCTCATCATCATATAATTTTATAATTTTACATGGGCCAGATAGATATTTCTTTTCTATTTTATTGTTTCCATAAGCAATATGTATTTTATACTGGACAGAAGTCTATAGCTTCATCTGATTCTCAAAAAGCCCTATGAATCTCTCAGAAAAAAGATTAAGAACCACTTAAGTCAATAATAAATTAATTCTGAGTGATTATCATCAATTTATAAAAACAGGCTCACAAGAAGGTTACTTAATAATCCTACGTTCTGTAACATTTTGGACCCCACATCAATAACATACCATGCACTATTAACATAAACTACATTTCAAACTTTTACTAATGGATATCTCTTCTTTCGGTGATGGGCTATGGACTCCATCTATCCATTTCACCTCATTATATCAAATACTTCGAACTGCGCCTAGCTCTCAATAAAGCAAGAAAGAAAAAATGTCTACCAGATTATCTCTAGGGGAAGAAGGCAGTTGGAGAGAGATTATCTTCTCATCTGGGCTTGGGTTGAGGCTCCAGCGCTCTACGAAATGATGGAGGAATCAAGAAGTAAGCATAGATTGATCATCTTATCCACAAGTCAAACCTTGTTATTTCAAGAGAAAATGGAAATCCAAAGTGATTAACAGCCTTACCAAAAGTGGCAAGGTCAAGACCAGAGTCCTTAAGAGTATAACGTCCCTTCCATTCCACCATGTCATCCAGCTAGGAGAAGACATAGAAACTAAATATGGAGTGCAAATGAACATGTCACCCAAATTCCAGTTCCTTTAACTGAAATTCAGCAACTAATAACCTTCTCCTTCATTATAGGTTGACATACCATAAAGAACCCGTGATTTTTGCCTGGTTTATTGACATAAGCAAATAAAATAAGATCACGTCTTATATGTAATATAACTTGAATTCAACCTCTTTGTCATTGTCATATCTATAAAAGATTTCCAGTTCCATAAATAAAATTGCTTTTATCATGCAACCTTAATTAGCTTTTCAATAATGCTTGTTTATTTGTCTTCACTGACAATTACAGCGAGGAAAAGGCTTCATTCATTAGTACTTTTTAAAATATATAGTAGATAAAATTGGATGCATGTTATTTCATTCCTATACACTTCTGGTAGCTGTCTTTTTAAAACCTAATAACATTTGTGTTTCTTTTATCTTTTTACAGGAGCATTGTTTTAAACCCAGCCTATTTCCGAAATCATCTTCGTCAGGCAACAGTGTTTAGATGTCTGGAGAGATATTCAGAAGCTGCTCGGTATGTTTGTTATAACTTTTGTGAAGATTTATTTCAAGTTAAATTAATTTTATTCTCAGCTTCTGGTAATAGCATAACAGAACTTTCCATTTCTCTCGGAATATGATTTTACCAGAATTATTGTCTTATAAATGTCAAACAAACAATTATTGACTATCTTTTTCTTTAATTAAAGCTATTCTGTGTTCATAGCTCTTAGTAAAATTCAAACTTTCCAGCCATGAGCTCATTGATAATGATGGGAAAACTTCCATGGAAAATTAGAAATGAACTTGACCTCTAGCTCTCAAGTACATTCCTAGTACTGGTTGTAATGACACGATTCTATGGCCATCTCCTTCTTGAGTTCTAAAAATGAAATCTATCCCCATAAAAAGGACTCCAGGAGCCCATTTCTGGAGGAGATGGCATCAATTATAACTCCAAGGGTTTTTAGAGGTGTCCTGAAATATTGTCTCTTGAATTTAAATATATTTCATAAAAACTTAATGAAATAGCTCTTAATATTCTCATCCCTAGAACCTAGATTTATGGCAAAAGATTGCAAGAATTGTGCAACAGCCTCGATGCTGTATTCAGAATTCCTTCTCACCTGTGACAACCAAGGCATTTTTCTTCTTTAATCAAGTTCATCATATCAGACTTCCCTTCTCTTTGATTAATTCTCTCAAAAATTTTTCTCATCTTCCAATGGAAGGTACATGCTTTTTCTTTACCACTCCAGGAATTTAGCAAGAAAGTGTCGGTGGTTTCTAATAGAGGTGAGGAAGCGGGGCTTAGGTTGCAGGTGGTTACTGTCTCTAGAACATTTTCAAATAACACTTTCTTGGAAATGAAGTTTAAGGAATTTAAGTAGATAATCGAATGGTTCCATAAAATTGATACCATGAGGTTGACATGAATTCTGTTTATGTAGGATGGTCATAGGTGTTATCTGAACTCAATTAAATGATGGATATGGAAGGCAGAATTAACCCCAACTTCTCACACTTTGCAGTCAAACAACTAACATGCCACAATACCTATTTAATGTCCATTTTTAAAAATTAAAATAGGCCTTTATCAATTTTTTCTTATCAATTTATCAATGTTATAGTTATCTGTAAAACAATGTTTCTTAAGACGCATTTTATTAATGTGTCTTCATAATCTGAGCAAAAGATCAATAGCAGAAGGCTCATTGCAACCCCAGCACAAGATGCAACTAGTAAAAAGCTGCCAGTGGTGTGCTGGGGTCAACTTGTACAGATTCTAGAAAGCTGCAGGAGAAATTAGTACTTCTGGGAGAATTTACACTATGGAAATAGGCAAATACTACAAAACCAGGCTTTTTTTGGTTTGGGGAAGAGTCAGGTTACCAACATATCATTAATTATACCTTAATTGTATTCAGCCTGTTTGACTTAAAATAATGACAAAAATTATTTATGGGTCCTAAAACAAACAAATAAAAAACAAAAACTTGAAAATTAGGAATTTCTTATCATTTGCATGTAAAATTGGTACTGAATATCCATCACCATTGACATGTGTATCCCTGCAGTGTAATAAGTATATCTGTTTAATAACATTTGGTGACTGACGATGCTCCTTGAGAACATTCCTGGTAATTGTTGGTTACGCTGGTATGGAATTTTCAACAGAGAATTAGATACCATTACTTTCAGATACAAATATTTTTCATCTTGATGTCCTTGATAAACCCTCAATACACAACATTATAGCCCTCAACGTATAGTATTGATCATCTTTCTCTTCCCCTAAGGGAAACTATGAACAGTGAACATAAAAATTTTAGTATCTTAATTATTAGTTATAATGTAAAATAGTAAATATAAATCAATATATAAAGCTTTCATGTTTATCAATTAATTTCTTGAGAGATTTGGGTAATTTGGTTCGGGTATCTTATAAGCACATTATATTAAAACTTATTGGAAAAGCCAACAAATTGAGCTTGTTTCCTCTAGGATGCCAAGTAATCATGTTTCTAAGATTGAGAAGCACCTACCAAATAAAAAATCATGACATTTTTATGTGATTTAAGATGTTTTAAAATCATGATTCCCAGTGAAGTGGCTCATGTTCTATCTGATCTAAATTAAGTATTTATAACCAATACCTGGAAATCGAGCTGTCTAAAGTTTTCTGAGCCTAACCAGCTCTACGTAGGAAGGAATTCCTAGTGAATAAGCCAGAAAATATTCCCAAGACAGTTTCATAAAAGCCCAGATTCTCAACCAGCAAGGCTAGAGGAATTGGTACTCCCTGTTGAATGTGTGGTATCAGTCAGGTTGATGGCAATTGGCAGGTTGTTTTATTTTATGGGTCAATATCTTTTCAGTAACATCCTACTGGAAGAAAGAGCAAGAATCTATAGATGGTACAAAACTGAACAAAAGTAAGAATGCTTATTTCAGTTTAGGCTCTACAAGGATGGTAGTCACCCTTGAGAAGACAATTGGCACTAGTTTAAGTGATGAAATCACATTTTCGTAACACAAATCTAAATTGAGATTGCTGTAACCCCCCAAGAAACAAAAAACTTCTGAGGCCTTACCTGCAATAGCAAGTAGTCTAGCTGTTTAACATATCTCTGTTTCTATGCATGTAAAAGTATACATGTTGAAGTAGAATGTCTTTGCTACAATCTGTTCCTCTTCCCCCAATACTAACACACACACACACATGCACATACACACACGTGCATATCATTAGGCACATCTTTCTAAGAAAGATGATAAGACAAGAAAAGAATATGCCGAGATGTGAAACAAAAACAAACAAAAGCCAAGACCAACTATTTTGTAAAGAAAACTAGTGACTCCTTGATAACACAAATGGCAAAATGTCTTTCATCTCCATGTGCTTGGTGTTTAGCATTGCATTTGGCACCAGCTTGGGATCTGTAAATTAAGTTAACTAGTTTTGGAGTTGGTGGTTAATAACCATTTAGCTTTATCAGTAAGAAAATATAACATGAAATTGTTGGTATAACCCTGGTTGAAAGATAAATATGAAAGTATGCACACAGTAGTTAAAGTTATGTGATCGTACCATACCCCTCATAGTGAAGATCCATAAAGCAAAAAATGGACGACATTGCACAGAATCTTTAGTTAAAACCATGTTGTGTAAAAAGAAACAAATGGAAGATAACACTAAAAAGAAAAGGCTTACAAAGTTTTTTATCCATCATGGAAGAAGACTTAGCTGTGTTTTCCTTCATACATGAACTAGATAGCTGGATAGAAGATTAGGAATAACACACTCAAACACTTACAAAGCCCAGGCAGATGGTGTGAAGGATGCCAAATACAAGATAAAAGGGTATTGTATAAACTTACTACAGAGAACTAGAGATCACTATGTAGAGTGATCATATGATTTACCTGTCACATTGAATACTTATAATAGTGGAAGCGGGCACTACTAAAAATTATAGCAGGAAAACAAGCATAAACCAGAACTGTCATGAGCACACTGGCCATACGGTCACCCTGCCACTGGCCCTGCCAAGGAGTGTCCATATTTAAGTCTAGCTAACATAGGTGAATAAAAATGTAAGTTCAGTGTTGCATATTTTTGAGTCTTTAAGAGATAGTATTACAATTCAGAGCTTTCCAAGAAATTCCTTGACTTTTAAATATTGGCAATTATTTCGGTTTTTGAAACACAGTGTCAACTTAAGAAAGTTGAAGTAGTCCCATTCATGAAAATGTAATTCACTGAAGAACTAATTTGCCAAATGATCGATTTATACAATTCGCCAAATTTAAAGTTTACTGAAAACTTATTTTTTAAGAAATAATCTTATTGCATAATTAATATAAATACATTTGCTTATGTACATATTCCTCATGAAACATTCAGCAAATAGTATTTTTTTAATTTTAGAAGGGGACTAAAATTTCCAAAGCCAAAGTCACAGAATGGATTATTCTAATGAGCATGTTCTTCGTGCATGTATATTATGACTCTATTGCTCTTGAATATATTCTATTACTATTTTCTTTTATGAACATAACCATAATTTTAATTTGGAAGTTGAATAGTTTACACTGATTTTTTTCTAATATTTGAAAATCGGCATTTTTTAATTTTTGACACTTTAACATTTTTAGAATTTCCTTCCCCGGTTTTTGGAAAGTGATCAAATTTACCTATTTAATCAACTGTATTTTAACTATTTATAGCATTTACAACAATTTGTATCAAACGAGATGATTTTAATAGTTCTCTGCTTTATCCCTGAAGCTAGACACAGCACAACCTGAGATATGGACTCTGCAGAGGGAGAGACTAAAGAACAGAGAGAAATTAAAGGTTCCAGAACCCCAGAGTCTTGGCTCCCTTCAAATTCATCTGTAGCATTGCTAAAAATTTTCTAAAAAGCTAAAATAAACTAAGTTTTAGTAAATAAATATTTTATAAATTTGATATAAATTGGTCATTTGACAAACTCATTACCTTAGGAATTGCCCTAGAGTCCACAGAAGGCTGTGGGCCACAGCATTAGATATGAAGCCGGAATCAAATCCTCTCTTTCACCTCTCAGTGAATAGTGAAGCTTAATCTTTCATGGATAAGAGCTGGGTTTCTTTCTACCAGCAAGAGTATTCCTTCCCACGTCAATTTTGTGCAGGTCACTTGGGGAAAGATTTTAGTCTAAAACCAGTAGTCCACTATTAGAAAAAGATGGCTTTTAACAGAGTGCAATGGCTTTAGTTAATTTACTATCTGCAGCAGATCTAGTCTGTTTTAGCTTTTATTTTGCAATATTATTTAATATAATGTATGTAATGTTGCGAAAAATAGATTAAATAATAAAATGTGGAGTCTAAAATTTTCATCATCCTCCTTAAAGTAATGCACTAAATGACACACTAGATTTCAGAGGTATTTTATATTACTTGTGCCTTCCAGGATAAAAAAAGGAAGAAAATTGGTAAAATGCCAATGAGTTGTATCAGTCTGCTTGTTGCTACACTGAAAATTTT